TGTAGTTTTTTTTTTTATTATTCAAGACAGCTATTAAGAATTTATTTATTCGTGATTGGTGAACCGATTCTTGAGACATGGCAAACTTTCTCGGAAATGTTAATGAAAATTTAATTTGATTAGCGAACCATCTCCTTCTAGCGGCACACACGCTATCAATAATATATATATACTAATGATGTTAAATGTATATCAGTTATCCCAAATCATTTATTTCTGTTGTTGGACCGTCTGTCCGATTGGTGCTCTTAACATATGTCTTGTGTCTAAATACCTTAAGAGTATTAGTATGTATTTAATTGTATGTTTGTAAAGCACATTAAATTATCAATGACAAATTATATTGACCTTCAACTGATTTTTTATTCAGTTGAATACATGCGTTGTTGTAACGGCTAAGGTGGAAACTGGTCTCATTAGCATAATTGTTAACCGTGGTGGTAATGGGTGATCATTTACTTACATGTTTAAATGTCACTTGTAAGAAAAAACTCAATTTTTACATACGACCTTTTGCACTAACAGTAGCGATATATATTATATAATATGAAAGTTCTCTCTCTCTCTCTCTCTCTCTCTCTATATATATATATATATATATATATACATATATATATATATATATATATATCTTTTTTATGCCATATTCAACTATTTCTTAGTCAAATTCAATTTCTTTCAAAACAGATTAAATTTTGTCCAAATCAAACCCAAATTCATGTTTTCAAATTCAACTTTTATTGTATAGTAACTTTTTGGAATTTTTTGAAATAAGGATCAATTATTAAGTTATCGAAGGGATGCTTTTTGAGAAAAAAAAGTATTAGCTTAATTATGAAATCAATTAGTTATTAAAAAGTAGGAGATATTAGATAATGTGCATACCATTTGAAAAAAAAAATCTTTTTATTGATTAATTTATTTTGTTTATGCCGTTTTGTGGTAAGTAATATATTCAAATCGTTAAAAAAAATATTTTTTTTTCAACTAACATTGATTTTATTCATCGAAAATATACCTAATTTTTAATAATTATCAATTATTATTATTATATATTAACATAAAAACACAGAAACCGAATTCAACCTCAAAGTGGACCATAATATAATTAATTTCTCCATCCTTAATGGGATCACTAATTTAATGGAGCTGCTCCGGTCTCAAGCGTCTGATTTATGTTGTTAAATGGTGGAGTGCTTTTCGAAATTACTCAATTCATACATATTTATATATATTTCTCATTGGCTAATATAATATTATTAAATCATATAAATATTTTTGTACAGCAATGGAGCTCTCATTACGGCCTAATAACTTTCCAATATTGAATTCTATCTAATATTTAATCGCGGTTAAAATACATATATCCGCATAATATTAAACAATTAGCATATAACAGGTAGCAACATTAAATTAATGTGTTCCGAAAATTATTTATTTGGAAAATTATTATTGGTCGATGAAAGCTTTAATGTTTAATTAATTAAATTAACACTTAAATATTCATAGAGGGAATTGTTGTAATATATATTCTATGTAGTGGGAAATATTAATGGGATGATAGCAGATCTCATGACCTACAAAAACATGTATATAAATAATGTTCCCATTTTCAGCAGAATTGTAGTAAATATTTAGCTTTTTTAAGACACGTTTGTTGAATTGGAATTGATAAATAAAAAAATGGTAATGAACAATTGCTTCACAGTAAACTAGACAAAATTTATTCCAAACGAAGGTAGATTTTGCAATCGTCAATACTATTGGAAGAAGATTTTTGAGAGGCTAAATTCTGTGATAAAAAATCTTGAAATACTAAATTTTTTTTTGTATCAGCCTCCAACTATACCACAAATACTCCACTTTTAGAAAAACTTCCTTGTATTATAAGTTTCATGTCCACATTAAATTTAGTTCAGGTTTACAATGAGATAAGTTTAGGTTCACCTCAAGTTGTGTAAAGAAATGAGATGGTTTTATAACCTGGAGCCAAAATACTCGTGTTTTCATGAAAAACACTTACGAATATTGTCAGCACCATCTATATTGCACACCTATCTAGCAACTAAAAATTACCCATGTTCCTATTTTTTCTCCCCTTATTTTTTAAACATTATTTTTATGGTTTGCTTTTATTTGTGAGCCGCTTCCTGCTTTGAATTTAGCACCTTATTTTGGTTTATTGCGATATATATATATATATATATATATATATATATATATATATATATATATATATATATATATATATATTTTCTAAAGTTTTGAATTTTGATCGGGTGTTAGATTTGTACAGTATTTTAATATTATCAAAATCGTGATTATATACTCAAGTTTTTATATCTGTTGATGTCATACCTATAAATGATTTTTCGCAGTTTTTACTAGGTATATTATTAACTAAATTTCTATGGTTCTAAATTAGTGTTGGGTCTTTTGTCTTTTCAGTAAATCTCGTATAGAGTGCCGGGGTTTGAGAGCGAATTTGAAATCGTCTTTGTCTAATTTTTTAAATGCTTTTATATTATATATCAGTTTGTCAATGTATGTTATGGATTTAAATTTGTTATTGTTATTACTTGTGGATATTGCTATTTTCTGAATTTTGGTTTTGTTCGTTATCTTTTGTTGTAATTAATGAACTAGTGTTAAAGAATTGTTTGAGACAAGTTTGGGTTGGGGCCGATTTGTATTGAATTTATATTCAGTTCATTGTCAGTTTGTTGTATTGGTAGTTTCTTATATTTAGTTATTGCTTTATACCACAGTATTGTTATCAGTTTATGGGAATAGAAACTATTTTTTAATATATTGTAAATGCGTTACTTAATTTCTTTCATATATAAATCATCGGATTGCTTTATTGATTAAATTGTTATTGTTAAAAGAATTGTTATTGTTATTAACTGATTAAAAAAAAAGGAAAAGAAAACTATTTTTCGTCAAAAGTGTAAAAAGATATTTTTATCTTTCAGTTAGTGCTTGTTTGTGTTCCACATTCTAGGAACGTACTTTATTTTAACACAGTTTTTCCCCATTATCTCTTTTCTTTTTCCCTTTCATTTCTGTCACTCACATTTCTCAGTTTTTATTTATTTATCTCTGAATTTCCCGGAATATATTCCGGCGTACCATTTCAAGAATACCTAATTAATTCACAGCTTCCCGTTCCTGACATTCGACTCTGCATATTTTATACCGGGTTCATAAATTTCACTTTGTTATGTTAATACGACATCACCCTCTTAGCTAGAAGTTAGTGGGTCAGGTACCCACTTTCGTAACGTGTATTAAGAAATGGCTGCATTGTCCGCTTATACTTGGGGCCAAGATACGCCCACTGCGACTTAGTAATAAAGGTCGTTCTATACGTATGAACTGCGCCTCATGTATTTGGCAAAAAGCCTGAAGTAATATGGATTTATGAGGTCGGTAAAGGGTAGATTGCTTCCTATATGCGATATAGCTAATATTAGGAAATTTACTTTTTATTTTTGTTGCAAAATAATAATAAAAACTATCAGGTCATAAGGAAGACAAGTTGTTTAGTTTATTATGCCAATACCTTCTATTTCTATCCGGGATACTGTCATAATAATTCTGCTTATTCTCAGTTAATTCCTATGAACTGTATGACTGGGGATGTTTAATTGACTAAGAAAAAGATGAGTTTATATTTTAATATATATTAAAATATTGTAGTTGTATGGTCAAATTTATCATTTTCCACTCTCGAATGAACTGCATGAATACTTTTCAGTAGTATCAATCACTTATTAAGTATATTTTTATTATGGACAACCTTATTTGGGTTATTCATATTTATTTGTGAGATTTTTTAATAATTATTATATTTAATCTATATTTGATTATTTATTTATCAAAACCATTTTGATCTCACAGTATTTTATTTTACGTTTAAAACATATTTAAAAATTATTATTTTTTAACGTTTCGGCTCCAACAGCCATTTTCAAAAATTCTTTCCTTTTAAAGAAAAAATCATTAGTCCTATAAAAACATTATTTCTAAAAAAAAAAATCTTAAATTATATATTTTCATAGAAGACTACTCAATGGTATTAATAGTAATTGTTTTATTAGATATAAATGTTTTGTTTTATTTTTCTTACAAATAAATGATATTTTATAGATAAAGTGAGGGTGATCAAAAACGAAAGAAATTAAGTAAATTTTGTCGCTAAAAAATATTTGTAAAATTAAATAGTGTTTTTTGATTTATAATTTCTTTTAATTATTACATTATAATGGAGTTGTTATATTACAACATGAAGTTTTTGATAAAATGGGGAGAAGAGAAATTTTGTGGAATTTAGAGAGAAAAATAAAAACAAAACATTTTATATTAAATAAAACAATACTATTGAGTAGTGATTGTAGTATATTATATAAATGTATAATTTAAGAAAAATGTTTTACAAATAATGTTTTTATAGCTCTAATTTTCTGTTGTTTTTTTTTTTAATAAAAAGAATTTTTGAGAATAGCTCTTGGATCCGAAACGTTAAAAAATTAGAATTCATTAAATGTTTGTATAAATGTTTTACATCATATCATATCATATATTAATCACATATAATAATTTCTATTAACAGTCGTAGTAAAGATCGAAGCTTCCCCCCAATTATATGTGAAGTCCTGTTTATTTGTTCTGTTCATAATTTCAAAATAACAATTATTTATCCATCTCTAACAAATATTTTTCATGGCCTCAAAAGCAATATAATGTCATAAATAAAGTAAACTCAGCACACATAATCCGAAGGAGAAAAATAATATTTGAGAAGCTTTGCGAAGAAATTTGTAGCTCAGAAGGTTATCCAACTTGTTGATTAATCATTACCCGAACTCAGGACGGCGTCATCATCAAAACAGCTGCTCAGCAAGAAAAAAAAAAAAAAAAAAGAACAACCTTCTGAAAACAAAGTTTCTAAGATTGGGAGAAGACGGCATCTGGTAGGCGAGACGGGCAGATGTGCGATGTTGCCACATCCTTCGGGCAGGTGCACCAACACTAATAGTATCCTTCGAGGAGGGGAAAAAAAAAAATCTTCGACTCCTTATATTACGGCAGAGGTCGAAGGAACCCGATACTCCAAGGATTTATGTCCTGGTTACGTTTTGACGGGGTTCCTCTTCTCGATACAACCTCACGTCAAAGGAATCATAAATGTCCCGGAATGCCGAAGAAGTAATATCGTATATTAGAAAAAAATATATATCCGCCTCCTTTTTCTCTAAGGTCAATTCAACGGAAGAGTGTCGAATTATGTTATATTTATTCGTTTATTATTCCAAATAATGTTATAAAACTAGATATAAGTGAATTAAATATTTAAAAAAAAAACTATAATATATGCTTTAGACCACACGATAGAAATGAAAACATCAACAAGGCGAGATTAATAATTTGAAATATAAATTATAAATAATAGCTCATTATAAAGATGATAAAATGCTGAAAATTTCCTTCGCTTACAGTATGCAGTTCCAATTTTCAGTTTTTGAAATATTTTAATCTACATCTTCAATAAAACTCGTTATCATTTTGTTTTCAACACTATTTTTTCTAGCACGGCGTAAGATTTTATTTACGACTATTTTATTTACGAAAACTATTGGAATTGGGACGTTTTCAATCTTGAGATCGGCAGACTTTGTCGATTTAATTAGGTACTAACAACTCGTAAATACCCATTTGCTTTCTGCTTGGATCGTGAGATAATTTTATCACAAAATCGAGAAAAATATTGGGCCGTTTGGCCTATATATCCTCCGTTATTTTGGGGTGTATGACACGCCAAACGCCTTAGTATTTTTGAAGGCCACCTTTTTTCTCCATTTTGTGTGCAAATTATATTATTAGTGGAAAACGAATGAGTATTTACGAGTTTTTAGTACCTAATTATATAGACAAAGTTTGCCAATCTCCAGAGAGAAAACGTCTCAATTCTGATATTTTTATAATTAAAATAGTTGTAGCTTACGATGAGATAAAGCTATTGACGAAGTTTCAGACGGATATTAATAATTTGATAAAAAGGGGTCTGTACCACGGGCTATTTTTGAAGTGAAAATATATGACACCTTTCGGTAATGGGTATTTTCTCTTACAAATAAAATTAATTTATGTTCATCGAGAGTTGTGGGGACAACCACCCCGACGAAACACAAATAGGACGCTCAATAAAGTTAATTAGAATTTGAAATTGGACAAGTCTTGGAAAGAGAGTGTGTGAAATAACGGGCATAATGAACCCACAGCCTGATGAGATTCCAGGTTTTCGATTAGTTCTCAAACCGCAAAATTCTTTCATAGTCGATAGCAGGATAATCGATAATAGCTAGTGGATGATCGACAATGGGTGGAATAATCGATTCTGTTGGGGGAACTCTCCGAGCCCATCTCGTGAGTAATGAATGTTGCAGTAAGTTTCCCTGCGGTGTCTGCCCAAGCTTCAATCGTACATCATTTATTAAGGAAAAAGTAAAAGATTTATCGATTGAATTATTAGTTAAATCGTTTCAACGAATATTTCATGTTGTTTGTGATCATTATTTTCCCTTTCTAATTGATCGTATTTCTTTTTTTTATTTATTATTGTTTGTTCGTTTGTTTGTTTCAATGTCTAGGCGCAAAACGTCCAGGTCATAAGAGCCCGATCAACTAAATAACACCACTTTTATACTGTTTAGATGGTTGGTACACAAAATAAAAATAAAAAAAGGATAAAAAAAAATAAATAAAAGTATAAAAAAATAAATAAAAGGATTGATAGAATAAGATAAATAAATAAACTTTTTAAAAAATGGCAGTAAAATCAATAAATGAATTGAAATTAATTATTAATTATTTGTTAATTTATTTATGTTATTTTCAACTATATTAAAAAAAAAAAATACATTCAGTAAATACAATAACAGAAAATAAAAACCTCAAAAGACTTCTTGAGAAACTACCCACTGGTAGCACTATAAAAAAAATGTATTTATAATAGGTGATCTGTAGGCCATCTTCTTTTCAGATAATCAATTATAAATAAGTAATACGATATATTATATTAATAGATTATTTGTGTTCGCACAAGCGTATATTTACATTTATGTTTGACAAGTGATATTAATTTATTAGGAAATAAATATTAATATTTTGTCAACAATGTTACGAAAATCAATAAGTGAAAAATCTAAAATTATTCATGGTAATAAAACTCGTATTTTTTATTTTATGAATTATGTATTACTTAACTTTCTGTTTTATTTTACTAAATTTGCGCGACGTTAAAATTGAACGCAATGACTCAAAACCAAGTTGATAATTATTTAGCTGAGAACCGCACGGGTTACGCGTGGCGTGGTTCACAATCACTACGATCACACCTGTTTATGAAACGCTAAAAGTAGTCTTTCGTATAGACCCGGATGCATTCCGCACTTCATGAATAAGTGTGACCGAAGTGATTGTGAACCACGCGTAACCTAGTGCAGTCTTTATCTGAATAATTAATGCCGCGTTTTCTAATATAATAATATATACACTGTCTTTTGTAGCGTGGTTATTGATGTTCTGTATAGTTATAAATTAAATGTACAATACGAAATTATTTCATTTTCATATAAACGCACTACTTTGAACTTTAGACTCAAACCTGTCTATGCAAGTTCTATCGTTGCTCTTTGTCTTCAGTATAGTCCCAGCTCCGTACAGGTGCACTTCGCAACAATTATTGAAGTTATTCCTCATAAAAGAAGTTTTTTGCATCTCCTGATGAATTAATATTTCGAACTATCTAACTAACTAACTCAAAAGTTTCTTTTCAATTCACAATAAGCTAACTAATATGATGGGTGAAAAATATTCAGTCATTATAAAGTTTTTATTAGTGCCGACGTTTCAACCAACCTATGATATGTATAACAGTTGACTAACTTCCTTAGCTAATATTATTTTAAAATAATTGATATTGCCTGTTAAATTAATCTATTAATAATATATGCACCTACACATGCTCATAATGTTTAACAAATATACCAAGCCATATTAGAATATAAATAAAATTCATTATATATGAATTTAAACATATATTAATATTTTGAAACTTTGACTCAATTTATACTCATTTTCAATTTAATATTAAGTATTAATTGTTTTCTAGTGACTTGTACTAGTATTATTGAGTTATTCTTGTAAAACAATTCAAGCAAATATTTGGAATTTAATGTTACTTTTAGTACAGATTTGACTCCAAAAAGTTTTTCTTAAAATATTTAATATTCACAATTTTTCTTAATACATTCGCAATTTGGCCCACGACTCTTTCTTTCATCTTTATTACTTTAGGGCCTGTTGTTAATTATACTAACAATTCATCTATACAACAATTATTCCACTGAAGTCATGTTAGTTGAAATCAAATACAAGATCAGACATAAACGAGATCTTCCTTGTATAAAATGTTTTACAATTTAAAGATATTATGTTCAGCAGTGAGGAGGGGGGAGAGGGGCAAGCTATAAAATGGGTTAAAGTACCTCTTGTGGCAATTTTATTTTATTTTATGAATATCTCGTTTTTTTATGTTTATGTACTCCGTTTCTTTTGAAATGAAAAATATACCTTTTTTTTTTATTTTTATGCCATGGTTACAATTTATTACACATTTACTTTTATTCCATTATTTTTTCTTATTAGTAATTATTTAGTTTTTATTGATATATTTCAATTCCATTTTATACATTTATCTTTTTCTTTATGATCAATACAAACATAAAGTTTTTTTTCTTTCATTTTTCATTCTTAAGTTGGGCCAAATTAATTACTTAAAATTTATTCTCTTATGTCTTTTGTATTTTAATACATTTCATTAATAAAAAATTAAATACATATTTAAAAAAATATATTAAGATATATTGATGGGATATAATTAATTATGAGTTAAACGTTCTCACTTATATTTATGACACAATCGATGAAAATTTATTACAATAATATTAGGTGATAAAATTATTGAATTATCAGTTATCACGTCTGTCTATAAAATTACTTCGCCATTCGTTCCGGCATTAAACAACGTTCTGAGAAAAATTGATGAAGGAAATTACGTCTTGAACGAAAGATAAATGATTTTATTTATAGAATTACATAAATTGTATTAAAATTACTGTTATGAAATCAGTTATTCTTAAAAAATATATAAAATAATTTTAAGGAATGTTGTGGAAATAGTCAAGCATTTATTTCATCTACATACTTTTTTTTTTAATTTTTTTTTTTTATTAACTAAATTTATAACTGTAATTAATAATAAATACAACAAGTAAATATGAACAAGTTATATGACATGTACAACATGAGGAGAAACTACCCATTGGTAGGACTCCAATTTTTTAATTTTAAATATCGAATGAATGAATGAATTACAACATTAAATTTGTTTATAATTTTATTTAGTGTAAGATGAAAATTCCAATTTAGCAATTTAAATATAATAATGGGCTGTTATTTGTCTACTATATATTTATTCATTCCACTATTTCTATTTCCATGACAATGTTTCAAATATATAGACATGGACATGGACATCAAATATTTGTTAATGTTTAATACAATAGATCATTAGCATGACTATTTAATTAAATTTTAAATTGTAAAATCGTAATTTCATGTAAATATTTTTAGATTAGCTTGAAGTTGGTATAACGGTAACGGTCGAAACGTTCCCATAAAAATGGAAGTTGTGGAATAAATAAATATATGTTGTAAAATTAGCAACCCAAATTATTCAAATACATTAAATTTGTATATCATTTCCTTTTATAGCCAAAGGAAATTGTGAGAAAGGTGTACTGACTTTTTTTTAATTAGAAATTATATTGTTACCTTTCTTTTTCTAGTTGAAGGAGTAGAATAGCTCAGTAGTAAGACACTAATTATCAATGCTCAATTTTCGAATCCCGCGTGATGGTCCATAAATTATTTATTTTGTTTTATGAGAAGTTTAGGTCGGGAGACCCTTCTGGGGCACACCTAGCCTCTATAAAATGAGTATCCTTAATTAAATGGAAAACCTGGCAGTTGTGCGTGATACCGATCAAATCACCTCCTTGTACAACCGTTGCCCAAGAAGTACTTCCTCGAAATAGTACTGAACCCAAGACCCTTCATGGGTTGTAGTGGTACAGGTTTTTTTTTATAATTTAAATTTTCT